TTTTCATTAATTAGGCTTCAACCTCTGCTTGGACAATAAATCCTTTGCAATCTAAAGGTGGCAGAGTTCCTTAAGTAAAACTAATTATGAAATCTTCAAAGGCTTTGCTAGTTTCTAATCTAATAATTTTAAATTGAAGTGGAGTTGAACAACTGGAACTGAGCAGTGGCTCAGTATCAGCACCTATTTTAATAGCCCACAGGCTAAAATACATCAATTTTAATTTTCAATGTCATGGCTCAGTATAGCAATGCAGACCGCTACAGACATGTTGTGAAACAAGCATCTTCTACAAAATGGAAATTGATTCAGGAGAGTAACATTGAGCCTCTTACACTTGTGATTGGAGGAATTCTAATTCTGCAGGTGACCAAAAAATCTTGTTCAATCAGAATTTTTAAAATAAGTAACAAATTCATAAGAAGTTAGGTACAAATATACATGTGCAGAAAACAAACTTACTAGGGAAGATTTTTAAAATAAGTAACAAATTCATAAGAAGTTAGGTACAAATATACATGTGCAGAAAACAAACTTACTAGGGAAGATTAAACAGTTAGGGTAGGACTTTCAAAAGTGCTCAGCACTGAACCATAGAATCATAGAATATTAGGGTTGGAAGGGACCTCAGGAGGTCATCTAGTCCAACCCCAGGCTCAAAGCAGGACCAATCCCCAACTAAATCATCCCAGCCAGGGCTTCGTCAAGCCTGACCTTAAAAACCTCTAAGGAAAGAGATTTCACCACCTCCCTAAGGTAACCCATTTCAGTGCTTCACCACCCTCCTAATGAAAAAAGTTTTTTCCTAATATCCAACCTAAACCTTCCCCACTGCAACTTGAGACCATTACTCCTTGTTCTGTCATCTGCTACCACTGAGAACAGTCTAGATCCATCCTCTTTGGAACCACCTTTCAGGTAGTTGAAAGCAGCTATCAAATCCCACCCATTCTTCTTTTCTGCGGACTAAATAATCCCAGTTCCCTCAGCCTCTCCTCATAAGTCATGTGCTCCAGCCCCCTAATCACTTTTGTTGCCCTCCTCTGGACTCTTTCCAATTTTTTCCACATCCTTCTTGTAGTGTGGCGCCCAAAACTGGACACAGTACTCCAGATGAGGCCTCACCAATGCCGAATAGAAGGGAATGATCACGTCCCTCGATCTACTTATACAGCCCAAAATGCTGTTAGCCTTCTTGGCAACAAGGGCACACTTTCAACTCATATCCAGCTTCTCATCCATTGTAACCTCTAGGTCCTTTTCTGCAGAACTGCTGCCTAGCCACTCGGTCCCTAGTCTGTAGCAGTGCATGGGATTCTTCTGTCCTAAGTGCAGGACTCTGCACTTGTCCTTGTTGAACCTCATCAGATTTCTTTTGGCCCAATCCTCCAATTTGTCTATGTCCTTCTGTATCCAATCCGTACCCTCCAGCGTATCTATCACTGCTCCCAGTTTAGTGTCATCTGCAAATTTGCTGAGGGTGCAGTCCACGCCATCCTCCAGATCATTAATGAAGATATTGAACAAAACCGGCCCCAGGACCAACCCTTGGGGGCACTCCGCTTGATACCAGCTGCCAACTAGACATGGAGCCATTGATCACTGGCATATCTCTAATCTTATTGGAGTTAACAAGGCATGCCAACACTGAGCACTTTTGAAAAATCCAACTCCTAACAAACATTAGCCCCTTTAAAAAAAAACTGGAAAAAATACCCATAACTCAATGAAAACTGCAAGTCTCTGAACCTCCAAACAATGTTTGCAGGATCTGGACCCTCATTTGCAATACTGTTTCTCTATCAAGTGGAGATGTGTTATATAGGGCCTTATTTTCAAACTAGTAAGCATACTATTTTCTCCACCTCCCTCGTGCATACTGTTGTGTGTGCAAATCAAGTAAGGTAAACTTCTGCAACTCTGAAATACTGTACTTAATTTCCCCCTTAATAGTTTCAGAGTGATTTAAGCAGGGAGTGTCTTTACATTTTTAAGATCAAACCCAGGAAAACTGAAAAGGGGGTGTGTCTGAGGGTTGCAAGAGATGTTCTTGACTCAGGTATAAGTAATGAGAGAAGGTGATGATCTACATCTTTCTCTGCATTTCACTGGGAATTTTGCAAGCTTCAGGGTCCCATTTTGACCCTGGCAAATCTCCACTTTTTACTTTGGTTTCTTTTACTAATGAAAGTGCCTGAAAGAAGAAGGTGGCTGTTATAAAGGCGAAGGGGCTCTTTTGAATTTTCAAAGCCATAAAAATGGCTTGGAGCAGTAAAACCTTTCCTAAAGTTTCTTATATAACAAAGAGACCGCAGGCTCCATATCTCCAAAAGATGAGCTAGTTTAAAAGTGTCCAGGACTTTCAGATACAGTAACCAGTCTATTTTCAGGCTTTTTGAATGTAAATGTTGATGTCATTCCAGTATCACTTTCAGGCAGAATACGTCTGGGAATAATAGAAAACATCATAGTGTCACCCACCACAATACCTATGTTACATACAAAATGATGCAAAACATACAGAAAAGTAACCAAGGAAGGAACAAGTGGGTATAGTTTCATTTTGGTGCATGATGGATTTACACCAAGAACTTCCATTAATCCCCTGGCAATGCAAATTGAGCATATACATCCAGAGGACAGTAATCAGAAAAGATAACTATTGTAGCATGAAAAATAAAATGGTAAGAAGCACTATCCTAGTATTTACACTTGAAAATATCTGAGGAAAAAGAAGGAAAGGCAGCTGTAAAACATATCCAACCTCATTTTGAGAAAGATAAGGACATGAGAGAGGAGACTGCAAATTACTCAAATGATATCTACAAATTTCTTAATGAAACTCTTCAATATAGTGTAAACTAACTAAACCTCTGATGAAGCATGATCTATACCACAGGATACTGTTTCCCAACTCTGCATCGCCACTCCTGATCTGTTTTTACCATCCAGTCCTGCATCTTAGCCAGTCTCTCTGACATCTCCTGCAGGTTGCCTCACTGTCAATTTAAATTTAACATGTTTAAAGTTGAACTCTTTGGATCTGATTCTTCTGTACCTTCTAGCTGCATTGCACTAGTCTAAAGTCTAACTAGACTTGCTAGCCCCAGGACTGAAGAGCTGTAATGATGGTTTAAAGCCACGTTCTCTCCTTCCCCTAATTCTGGATTTGTGCCAAGACTGCTGGTCCAGTCTACAGAATCTGGGCCCTTTTCTCCACTCCCATGCCCTTTCCACTTTTCCCATTCCCTGTCACCATTAACACTACCTTCATTCTCCCATGACCTGGGAGCCATTTTTGACTCTACCCTCTATCCTGCCACACCCAACCATGCCCTTTGCAGATCTTTTCATTTTTTACTCAACAGAATTTCCAAGCACCAACGTTCTCTCTCTTTCCATCCTGCTAAGCTCGCACCCAGGCCTTGATGATATCTTGGCTTAACTCCTGCAACCCCCTTTCCTCTGGACTCACTCACACCTGCTGTTCTGACCATGATCACCTGCCTTTGAATTCCTCCACTGATGATTCCTTCTCCACCACATCAAATTCAAGATCCTTGTCCTCAGCTTTTTAGGGCCTTTCACAACTCTGCCCTTCCATACATCTCTCTCTTGTACCTTCCTGAGATTGTTCCTTGCCACTTTTGCTTTCCTAACAGTCCCAAGCTTGAATGCCTGTATGTTCATTTCTCCCACCAGCACATTTCCACTGTCTTCTGTACTATACCTCATGCATAGAATACCTCTCCAAAGTAGTATAGAGGCGCTACCCTGCCCTCTTCCAGATCTCTTCTTATAGATTTACTTTTGCCATGATGTCTTCAGCAAACAGCCAGCTCAAGCAGATAGTCAGTGGGGATTTCTCAGATCTATTTTAGCTACTTCTATCTTATAATTAAAAAAAAAACCAACTTTAAATGATTCGGAAACATTAAGTTGTGCATATAACCATTCTAGGTAACAATGTGCTGCTTTCACTATTACTCTTGTCATCCTTCCTCATTCCTGCCTTTAGTTTGTTTCCTCCTCTTGTTTGGCTTAAATTAGATTTTAAACTATTAGGACTGGAACTGCAGCTTTCTAATGTCAGTACATCACCAAGCATAATGGGGCCTGACTGGGGCTTCTAAGCACTACTGTCATCAGAATAATATGGACAAGTTACTATGTTATGACTTTACAGGTTTCTCACTCACAGTAAAATTAAAATATATTAACTAATTGACAGAAAACGTGCCCTGGCACATACTATCATGAGAAAATGCATAAACACGTAACTGAACTGAGTCTCTGCATCATTAGAACAATATGTCCAAACATTTGTATAATGAAGAACGGATGTAAAGACAATGAACTGGCACTACCAACATAACAATATGTTCACCATTGTATTCCTGTGATTAAAACAAACACAATATTTAAAAACTAAAATAACTCCACAAGGAAAATGTGCTCTGTTTCTAACTGTTCGAAAAAAAATGCTGTTTAAGAGACAATAATATTATTCTTTTCAGTACATGTATGAAGGCACACAAACTAGTCCATGAATGTGCCATGTTTTTATAATTCTCTAAATAATGGATATTTTAAGAGAAAATATAGGACCAAATTTATTAATAAATCCCACCTGCCCTCTGCACTGTAGGAGTCTATGCAAGACCTGAAAGATTGCTGGGAAAACTGGAAGGTTTGCTCTGGCAAACCAACTCTTACACAGCAGAGCAAAATCACTGTTAAATGCATTTTCCCCCACTAGCAGCAGTTGTATATTTTCATATATAGTAATGTATGTATGGCTACTCTTACTCAAACGCTTCTCAGAGACTATTTGGTTATATTTGGTGTTACTGTCCTGCAGACACTTACTACAACATGCAGGGTAAATGCAGCTAATAAGCATGATTAGCTAAGACACTATGTTTAATTTAGTTTTGCGCTAAGGACTAATTGCCTACTCAGGGAAGGGGAAGTGTAACATTTTTTTTTAAGATGCTTACCCGAGGGCCCTGATCACCTTGATCTCCCTGCAAAGTGGAAAGATGAGATGATAGTTTTAACACAGCATCTGTGTGCTACCCAACTCTCTTACATAATTTCACATCATACTGCAATAGAAACTATGTGTTCAGTTAATACCAGGAGGGGTTTCCATTTATTTTGTAAGTAAGTTGACAATATGTGTACTCACCTTCTCGCCTTTTGGACCAGGAGGACCCTGAAAAAAACAGAAAAAAAAAAATTGACAAATTATTGATGCTAATGAAGTTCAATGGGACACAGTAAGAAGCAGGTCTGAATGATCCAGAGATCTATCCCTAATGTTATGATTTCTTACGGTTTTCATTCCATAAACTGCAGGTATTTTAGGAACAGGTTCTGCAAAGATTTAGTAGCAGGTGTAGCGGGGTTACTCCTGTTGAGCTGTGCACGCAGTCTTCAGTGGGACTACTCACAAGAGTATTGAAATCCTGGCAATGGCAAAACTCCCACTGACTTCAACAGAGCCAGGATTTCATCCTACATCTGGTAATAAGCATTTTCTAAAACAGTAAAACTTTTTACCAAATATGGCTAATAAATCCAGATCTGTCATGTATTTTGGCAGCCTTCTTAAATTAGAAAAGTAACGGAAAATTAGATTAGGAATTCTAGGAGCATAGCAAGTCATGTTCAGTCCAGTGGCATCCTGTGATGTGGTAGAGGAAAGTGAGTTCTTCTTTATCAGAATTCAGTTTGATGTGACTTTTCAGAATGAAGGATAATTATTTTAAAAACACCAGACAAACAAACCGGTGTAGTGGTGATATTAGGGTGGTACTATAGGTTCTTTCATTATTCTCTGTTGTCTGAACAATTTCCCAATTTCTGTGTTCTGCAACTGCCGGAATCAACTTTCTAGACCCAGTTCTCAAGCTATAGCTTGTGGATCACTTGCTGGTAGTCTGCACAGAACTGGCAGATTAAATAGTGCTGACTCTGCCTACATGTTTCCAGCTCCTTCTGAAGATGTCCAGGTGTTTCAGTGCAAAGAAGAGTTTTGGTACTGGTAAAAGCATCTGGAAACAAAGAGGACAAGCCAGTCTAGTTGTGTTCAGTAGAGGCCATGGCTACAACAAGAGAAGGAGAGGAAAAAAGCACCACCATCAGAGAACGGCACCACCAGCAGCATAGTTAAAACTAACTATCTTCCTAATGCTACTTTTCCATGTAAGCAAGCAGTATAACTGCCAGAAGGATTTTTCATAATCACAAATGGGAGAGGAAGTGATTCACATGACTTGCAAATGGAAGAAGTGGCCCATGAAACACTGTCTCATAGGATGCTGGCTACAGCGAAAAAAGCTTTGAAAATTCATGTGCTAGCCAGTTTCTTGTGTATTTTTAAGGATTCCCCAGCATGTAGGAGAGCCCCTGCTACTACACCTTTTAAGGAGATGCAATGTATGTTAACTTCTCTAGCTGGCCATCTCTTCTGGCTGGTGCAGGGGGGAAGAATCAAGCCCTGGCCTCCTCCTTCCCTTCCCATTTCTCCTTTGGGACAGCTAGAAGAGTGGAGCCCTTGCACTCAATTGAATACAATGACTGTCATTGTGGCTCTCTCCCCCTTGTATCCCCACACAGAGGCTGGACACAGTCCTTCCCTGAAGTTTAAAAAACAAGTTAAAGCACAGATAAACTCGTGATGAACATTTGTCTTTGTGCATCCACTTGGTCAACTTACATCTCTCACTGCTTCTTCTCAGTGCAGAGGTTCACATGCCAAACAGTTAAAATTGCATGCAGAATTCTGTATTCATTCTGACCCCATGAATGCTTGTACTGATGTGACTGAGAGGGATAATAATGCAGCACATTTTCAGCAGGCCTGCTTTAAAACATGTGAATATATATATCAAGCTTGCAAGCTCTCAGACAAACATATATCGATATTTACCAATAGTTACTGCAGAATAGTGTCTGAGAGTATAGCATGTGTGTAGTAATTGTTGGCAAACACTGACTTTAAAATGGTGACCACTGAACCGAGAATACAATATGTGCCGTGGTTACATTCCATTACCTTAAAAAAATAATCCTTTAACTGACCCTTGATGACCTATCAATTGCACACTATAGCTAAGGGACCAGATTCAGTAACGCTGTATATTACACTCACTGTGCCAGTGACTTCGCCTGCAACCCAAAGATATTCATTTCAACTTAAGGAAGGGCAGGGCATTTTATTGCCATTGCACTCTCTTGGGATTTCTGTGGGTGGGGGGCAGGATGCAGTTATTCACAGTCTGGTTTCAACAGAAACTCCACTGACAGAAACTGCTGAAGGCATGGTACAACTGTTGCAGCTATAGCCCTTCCCGACCAGTGCCACCCACTTGTTGGGCTCACTCACAGGCATGTAATTAGTCCACAATGACACAACTAAGGATGCAGTCAATTTGCACCACAGCACCTTCTTCTCAGGAGAAATAGTAGAGCTCTGGGAGCATGAATGTGAATCCAACCTATGATTTTTAATAGAGCTGGTTCTATTATTTGTTTCAAATAACTTATCCAATGATTTTTGCCCTCTTTTTTCTTCGCAGATTATCCATGAATCCCCCTTCACCCCTCAATTTCTGTGAATTAGTTAGTTATTCACAATTGTCTGATGGATCAAGTATCAGAGGGGTAGCCGTGTTAGTCTGGATCTGTAAAAAGCAACAGAGAGTCCTGGGGCACCTTTAAGACTAACAGATGTATTGGAGCATAAGCTTTCGTGGGTGAATGCCCACTTTGTCGGATGCATGTAATGGAAATTTCCAGAGGGAGGTATAAATATGCTGGCAAGAATCAGTCTGGAGATAACGAGGTTAGTTCAATCAGGGAGGGTGAGGTCCTCTGCTAGCAGTTGAAGTGTGAACACCAAGAGAGGAGAAACTGCTTCTGTAGTTGGATAGCCAGTGGAGTTCTGTTGGTTTCTTTCTTGGGCTTGTCTTGTAGCAGGAGGCTTCTGGGTACACGTCTGTCTCTGTTGATTTGTTTCCTTATTTCCTTGTGCGGGTATCGTAGTTTTGAGAATTCTTGGTGTTGGAGGCGGCGAAAGTAGACTTCCAGATCACTGCAGAACTGTATCATGTTCGTGGGGGTGCTGGGACAAAAAGAGAGTCCCCAAGATAGGACAGACTCTTCTACTGGGTTGAGTATGTAGCTGGATAAATTGGGTGAGTTAGGGGTACCACTGTTGTGGCCCCATATGGCAGGTAGGAGTTTAGACAGCTTACGGTCCTTTTTCCTTTGTAGAGAGGTGAAGTGCATAGTGTAGATCTCCTGTCTTATTTTAGTGAAGTCCATTTGTGTGGAGGGTTGGTTATTAATGAAAGTCTCCAGGTTGGAGAGCTCTTTTTTGATGTTTTCCTGTTTGCTGTATAGGATGCTGATCAGGTGGAAACTGAGGAACCACCTAATCAGCACTTCACCTCTCTACAAAGGAAAAAGGACCGTGATCTCGGGGACTCTCTTTTTGCCCCAGCACCCCCACGAACATGATACAGTTCTGTGGTGATCTGGAAGCCTACTTTCGCCGCCTCCGACTCAAAGAATACTTTCAAGATAACACTGAACAGTGCACTGATACACAGATACCCTCCCACCAACAACACAGGAAGAAGAACTCCACATGGACTCCTCCTGAGGGTTGAAATGACAGTCTGGACCTATACATAGAATGCTTCCGCTGGCGTGCACAGGCAGAAATGGGGAAAAACAACATCATCTGCCTCATAACCTAAGTCATGCAGAACGCAATGCCATCCACAGCCTCAGAAACAACCCTGACATTATAATCAAAGAGGTTGATAAAGGAGGTGCGGTTGTCATCATGAACAGGTTTGACTACCAGATGGAGGCTGCCAGACAACTCTCCAATACCAAATTCTACAGGCCACTTTCCTCAGCTCCCACTGAGGAATATACTAAGAAACTGCACCATCTACTCAGGACACTCCCTACACTAACACAGGAACAATTCAACATACCCTTAGAGCCCTGACCGGGGTTATTCTATCTACTACCCAAGATCCACAAACCTGGAGATCCTGGACGCCCCATCATCTCTGGAATTGGCACTCTCACTGAAGAACTATCCGGATATGTATGTCTGCTCAGACCCTACGTCACCAGCACTCCCAGCTATCTCTGTGACACCACTGATTTCCTGAGAAAACTACAATGCATTGGTGATCTCTCAGAAAACACCATCCTAGCCACCATGGATGTGGAGGCTCTCTACACAAACATCCCACACACACAGATGGAATACAAGCTGTCAGGAACAGTATCCCTGATGATGACACAGCACAACTTGTTGCTGAGCTCTGTGACTTTATCCTCACGCACAACTATTTCAAATTTGGTGACAATATATACCTCCAGACCAGTGGCACCGCCATGGGGACCCGCATGGCCCCACAATATGCCAACATTTTTATGGCTGACCTGGAACAACGCTTCCTCAGCTCTCGTCCACTCATGCCCCTCCTCTGCCTACGCTACATTGACGACATCTTCATCATCTGGACCCATGGGAAGGAGACTCTGGAAGAATTCCACCATGATTTCAACAGCTTCCACCCCACCATCAACCTCAGCCTGGACCAATCTACACGGGAGGTCCACTTCCTAGACACCACAGTACAAATAAGTGATGGCCACGTTAACACCACCCTATACCGAAAACCCACCGACCGCTATGCCTACCTTCATGCCTCCAGCTTCCACCCCAGACACACAACACGATCCATCGTCTACAGCCAAGCACTGAGGTACAACCGCATCTGCTCCAACCCCCAAGACAGAGACCAACACCTATAAGATCTTCACCAAGAATTCTCAAAACTACGATACCCGCACAAGGAAATAAGGAAACAAATCAACAGAGACAGACATGTACCCAGAAGCCTCCTGCTACAAGACAAGCCCAAGAAAGAAACCAACAGAACTCCACTGGCCATCACCTACAGTCCTCAGCTTAAACCTCTCCAACGCATCATCAGTGATCTACAACCCATCCTGGACAATGATCCCTCTCTTTCACAGACCTTGGGAGGCAGGCCAGTCCTCGCCCACAGACAACCTGCCAACCTTCAGCATATTCTCACCAGCAACCAAACACCGCACCATAACAACTCTAACTCAGGAACCAATCCATGCAACAAACCTCGATGCCAACTCTGCCCA